GGTGGTTGGTTCCATGTCACCAATGGAGGCGGACCGATGACCTGTGACGATTCTTTGATTGCGTTTGCCCGTAAGGAACAAGACAAACAAGCGAAAGAGTTAGAGAAGAAGAGAAAGGTGTTCATGGCGCACAAAGAAGTGGCTGCATCTGCCAAAGAGCTTTTGAAGTCTAAAAGAGATTACATGAAGTGGAGGAAACCGGAGTTGCAACTTGCCATTCAATGGAAGCAAGGGCCCAATCCGACTGAACCAAACAACGAGAAGACCGACGCTTACAAGAACGCGCTTCAGGCTCTTTGGAAGAACAAATATAGAGATCTAGAAGTTCCCACAGACGACTGGACGGACGAGGACGAGGCAAGGCTGGATGCTCTCAAAGCAGGAGATATTGAATGCTTTGAAAGAGATGTAGGACTCCAACGTTTCTTTGAAACGGAAGAAGAGGGCATTGCTCTACGTATCCCAGCTTTCAGCAAGCTGAGACGAAAGAATGTGTTGCTCCGTGTGATCCAATCGCTCCAGGAAGATGAGTGGAACGATATTGAAACCGATCTCCCATGAATGGCTGTTGTTGAGTGGACGTATCCGAGAGGACGACACTTTCTATATTATTGTAAATAATGCAACTATAGTATTATTATATCACTGTTGCAACTGACTGCTTCCATTCTGAATAGTAGCGCATCTGCTACGTCTCGCGAATGAGCTCTTGATACTTCATATTTGCATCAACGACTAGCTTTCCCCACTCCGCTGCCAGTTTAAGCGTCTTTCCTTTGTCGACATCTGCTGTTTTGGGTGCAAAGACTTCGATTCGGAGGATATCAGAATGCTTCATGGCATCATCCTCGAACATGCAGTTAATAACAACTGTCCGAGTGGCCAGCCCAGACGTTTCGCTCTTCCATTTGAAGCTTTCGGTTTCCCATTTCACACGTGTTGTCAAACGTAGCTCTTGTGTTGTGAGGAGATTCGAAGTGGAGAAGTCCTTTGGCTTACATTCTTGCAGATCATCTTTGGCAGCCTGCTCATATCCTGTCACATTGAACCGGTACTTTACCGTATCACCAAATCGGTCAAATGAAATTGCACATGCTTTCATTTGCATCGTCTCTTGTGCCATCGTCCCATCGTTCAACTTGACACAGGACCTCCACGTAACCAGCGGATGCCGCGTTTCACTTCCGAAGAATTCGCACGATGGTGTTCCATTTTGGACCGCCGAAAGCAAAAGATGCGTCGCTCATTGTTGATTGTTGACTCGTAGATTGTGACTTTCTTTCGAAAGCTGCTTTCGAAAGCTGCTTCCGACATGCGTTGTGGTGCTGTTGACGACAGTTTGCTCTATAGAAGAATGTTCAATCCGTCTTCGGGGAAAACTCTGCTCGCACTGATAATAGCAGGCCCACTTTCCCCGTGAAAAGTGGATCATTCTGCGACGTGTAAAGAAAGCTCCAACTGAAAAGGAAAGCTGGCAAGCGCACCACAACTCGATCAGCGGTAGCGACTGATCGCATAATTTTCGCTACCGAAATCGTAAAGCAAAGAGCCACAATGACGTCTTCCGTTGCTACTAACACCTTTTTCTTTTCCCCTCAGCCGCCTGCAGCCTTGCCTGAAGATGATGTTGTTGCCATCGTTGCAGCCATTCAACAGGCGCTTGCTGGTGCTGTCAATCAAGGAACCAATGCTAGTTTGAGCATTCAAGTCCATCCAAACCGTTTTCTTTCCAATGGAGGCCTTACATTCCTGGATGGACTTGAAGGCACAATCGCATCGCAGTCCATGCAGCACTTGGAGCTGGTTTCGGATCAAGGAGGTCGCCATGTTCTTGTCCATTTTGTCGGTGGTGGCACTCTTTTTGCTGTTGCTCACAACGTTGAAGATGATGTTGAAGATGACGTTGAAGACAACGAGGCTCCTCCAGCCGAAGAAGAAGACGCCACTGACAACGAAGGCAACGAAGACGAGCCGGATGACAACAGCAGCAGCGGAAGTAGCACTCGTTTCGAACCGGGCAACGATTCAGACACTTCTTCCGATTTTGATGGTGCTTTCCACGGTCTTAGCCAACTCACAATCTAGCCAAGCCACTCCTGCATGGACCCTTGCTTCTCTGGCAAACGGTCAGTGCTCCCAGACTCCAAGGAAGCTGCTATAGACCTCAAATCGACGGCTCCTTTGGCCATTGTGAATGTTTGTTCATTGCTGTTAACTTTTGTTAAACCGTGAAAAGTTCGGCTGTTAACCCTAGGTGTTAAACCTTAATGACGTTGTTATTCACGCTTAACGCCCCCATAGAAAAAGCGTTAATTAACTGTCCGCTGTTAATCCGCATTAAACGTGTACAGTAGATTGAATCGACACTGTTGTCTGTCCCGTCATTCCTGTTCACTGCAATCGTCACTTCGAAACCTCCGCGCATGGTTGCGTGGATGCCCACACTCTTTAGAACTGAACTTATTTCAGCCCTGTCTTCCAAAGCGCATTTCTCCAACCACCACCACAACCTGTGTTGCCGCCGCCTTTGCACGCCTTGCCGTCGCACTCGCTGTCGTTCACCTTGCCGTATTTGTCAAAGTCATCGTCGAAGGCGCCGCAGAAGCAATAGTTTCCAGATTGCAGGGCGAAATAGTAATAACCCTTGTCTTGACACTTCGTCTTGCACTCATCCAAGGATTGGTTGGGTCCAACTTTATGGGAAAGTGCTCTGTCACTCTGATCTTTGTAGCAGCCCTTGTATTCGGCAATGGGCTCAAACCCAGTGGCGTACACACTGTTTCTTCCTGGACCGCCACAAATGCCAGAACCCGTCGTGCAATCATAGAACATTCACTCTCTGTGTGTGTGTGAACACAAGTGCAAGCATGGCAAAACCAGCAAGTTCCAATGTCAGACAACAGGAACCATCATTGCAGTTGAATACAGAATCGAATCGGATGCAACGACTCACCGGGACGAACGCCGCCATATTTGTCATAACCAGTGTGCCCACAGCGACATTCGCTTTTGAATTGAAGACCGGCATACTTGAAGCCTTTGTTGAAGCAATCTTCGATGCAACCGTCCAACGTGAATCCGTTGCCCAAATGGACCTCGAGAGCACGCGGGGAGGAATCCTTGAAGCATCCGATATATTCAGATGAAGGCTTGTAGCCAGTCAGATAAACGCTATTTCTGTATGCATTTGTGTCGCAAAGAAATAGGGGGTTGGAACACACGCTGAAATGGTGATGGTACAGCGGAGGTCGAACAAGCCATTTGGCGTACCTATAACCTCCACCGCATTTCCCCGAGCCATATTTGCAATCTTTTTGGCAATTGCTCTCCGGCAGCTTGCTGCTATGCATATCGTAGCCGGCATTCCTGGGATATCCATGAAAAAAGGATTTGTGAGCGGCATTTGGTCATGATTACCCCGTAGTGATGAGCGTTACACGCAGTGCTTACCCGCAGAAGCAATAATCTGCATTTTGAAGCGCTGCGTACTTAAAGTTCAGATCGTGACACTCAGTCCTGCAGTCATCGATGCTTTTTCCTGGCCCAATGCGGTGGGTGAGCGCACGAGGACTTTTCGCATCCATGAAGCATCCCACATAGTTGGCTTGCTGATCTTGACCTGAAAAGCCGGTGGTCCACACCGAATTTCGACGACCAGCACCTGTCAAACGAGGAAACCAAAATTCCGCAAATACACAAGGTCGTCAGCACCCAAAAAGAGTATCTTTCGTTTGGGGACAACCAACAGGTCCTTCTTACCACAATAGCCGTTCTTGTCCTTGCATCTGGACTTGCAGTCCATTTCAAGAGCATGACCATGCTTATCAAACTCTGCAGTTGCAGCTCCGCAAAAGCATTCCTTCCAGTTTTGCATGGCAGCAAAATGATAGCCACCAAGTTTGCATGTCGCCGTGCACGTATCTATTGGATACATGTTCCCCTGGAAAACGGGCAAGCCTCGGTCGTTGGTATCCTTGTAACATCCCACATACATGGGCTCATCAGTTTCGGGCGTTGATGCGACGAGTTGCATACTTGCTTGACGTTGACTTGCACCCAAAAGATATGAGGACGGACTTGGGTAACTGGATGGCTGGTACGTGGGCGGTCCCACAGTGGGAGCACCAGTTGGAGTTCCGGGAGTCACTGTTGGATTGCTGTGGATTCCCTCAACCAGACCAACTGGATCGATGACGCCTCTGACCTCGATCCTAAAGAACTGACCTGTGCTCACGTCGTTGGTACCGCTAGCCAACACCGACCCCACAGGGTCCCCGTTCCGACGAGAATTGACAATGTCGAACACTTGCGACAGACTTAGCTCTCCAAAGTCCCACATTTGAAAAGCTTCTTGAAAGGTCCAATCCTGAGGGAACCCCAGCGAACCTACTTGAGCATAGGGCCCAAATCTTGCACCATAGTCATGGTCCTTTACTTCAAATCCAGCCCCAAAATTAATCATTTCGGAGAAACTGTCTTGTCCAATCTTGTAAATGGGAGCAAGTTTGCTTCCCAGCTGCCTAGTTATCATTCCACTGTGCAGTTTGAGAAACCTCCTGATCCCTCCGTGCTCATTGAAGTCTTGTCCATATCCGATTTTTTCTCTGTACGCTCTGATCGGGTCCCACGGGAACAAACCATGGTTATCATTCGCAATATCAACATACACCTTCCTGTTTGACCAAAGTTCCAAAAGTCAAGATTGAGTTTCAATCCGAGGACACCCACAAGGAGGCAAAACGTGAAACAGTTTGCTGGACTTACTCGTTGTGGTACTGGCTGACTAAATTTCGAACATCCTTGGTCTTAAGAACCCAATAATCAACGCAGTCAATGATTTTTTTGGTTGTAGCCTTGTCCAGGTTTTTGAAGCGAAACTCGTAGGCCTTATCTCTCAATTTCCCCATTTCGCTTGTTTTGCATTCAGGATAATCACGATTGGCACTTCCCACATCCCTGTGTGCCTCTCTCAATTTATTACATGCAGCAAAGTACTTGTGACTTCGAGATCTAGTTCCAAATTCTTTCCACTTCAGTTCGCACATGATGTATCCATCCATACCATGTTCATAGATAACTTCATTGATGTCCTCAGCGAGCTCGATGGCCTTTTTTATCATTTGATAGGGACCTGCGGAAGAATTTTAAAAAGTTTGAGCGACTTTTTGAAGGCACGTGTATCATTCAAGCAGCATGCGTTTGCAACGTTGTATTGGAACCTACCGAGTGAACGGGCAAATCTTCCCTCCAAATGGGCTCCTACATCCATCCCAAACTTGATTTCTCCGTTCTCCTGAATCAGACCCAGGCTAAAAAAGAACTTGGTTTCGAAGCGGAAGTGAAAGCCCACGGGAATCTTGTCATTTGCAGCGTACCGGCCGCTGCTGTAGCTATTTGACCAGCCAATGTCGTTCGAAGTAATCCGCCCTCTGTTGATGAACGTGAAGATGTTGTATTCTGCGGAGGCCTGACGAGAATGCATGTTGCCCAAGGCTTGAAGATCAAGTTCTAATGCAAGCAAAGGCATCCAACCTGTTGTATCCGAATCCAAGCCCATATCAACGTAGTTAATTCCAAGCAAACGCCTTCGGTCGGGACCATTAAGTAACGATTTAAACATCCCTGTTATGTCGTCCATTGGCTGTTGAATCCCCGAGAGGTCCCACTGCTCACACCAGGGAATCTCTGGAGCATCGAATCAAACAATTCGGTAAGAAACGAGAAGAAAAGGAAGAAAGGCCTGTGTCACACATGTCCCTGCTCGTGTAATACTCACCAATGTCGCAGTCGTTGCAGTCTGGAAGATTCATCTTGGCAAGGACATCCGAGACCGGGAGGGTCTTATTTGTGAATGCGGTGCAATTGATGCCGTCCACAATGCCACCAATATATTCTTCTATGCCATCAAGCGCTTCCGCCACATCCGCGAGTGTGTCGAGCATCTCCGTCATGTCTACGCCAAGCTGCTTTGCCACGCACTCAATGTCAGTTGCACAATCACCAATGTACTTGAAAGGTGCAGGGACCTGGTTTATGAAGTCCCCATACAGTTGTCCTGGCAAGTTTGTGAAGGCTGCAATTTCAGGAAGCTCGGGCATGTCTAAGGGAATGAGGTCAAAGGGTTTGAAGGGGAGCAAATCAAGATCGATGTCTGGAAATGTAGGGAGGTTGAGGAGCTTCTTGATCTGGTCCTCCATAATGTCAATGATGTCACCCAGAACTGCACGGATCACGTCATCGATGAATGCCAGGATCTCCTTCACTGCAAGACAGAAAAGGTTAGGCGAACATGCATGTCAAAGAACTTCGCGAAACCCGGTCGCAACTGCTCACCAATTGGGAGACCCTCTATAAAATCAAATATCTTGGTAAATGCATTCGTGATATCCTGCAGAGACAACCAGACAGAACCCAGCGGAACACACCATCCAAGGATGAGGGTTTCACCAGCAGCACACGTTCCAAAACATGTGCCAAAGATATCCTGGGTGAAACCAGTACCGTCTCGCTTTCTACCATTATACTTTTTGCAAAGCAAATTGTGGTCATCTTTCTTTGCTTGGTACTTCCAAAAGCGTCTGTCATTGGTTCTGCTCGGAGGGTTGTGGAGCAATGTCAGCCTAACGGTATCCGTAGTACCATCAAAAACCATTTCGGTGCAACCTTACCTAGGAAAACAGAGTGATGGAAGGACCTTGTGTGACCAGCCGTGAGGACAACTTTTTTTGAAGCATCTACCAGGCACAACATTACTGTAGCCAGATCTGCAATTTTCAGCACACCGGAGTCTAGGAGCAGTCCACCATTCAGCCCTGGGTATCGGGGCAAGTGCCATTGTAAATTACAACACAGACTGGGGTCAGAATAGCACTAGTGCCGCAAGCTGTATATAAACAGTGCTCAAAGCTCACCTGTAACGGCTTCGCTCACAACGAAACTTTCCACCCCAAGGAATTTTTTCATCCCAGCATTTGAAAGGCCTGCAAAGTCTAATCTTCTTGTAGTTCCAGTACCTGAAGTAAAGTGCATGGTAGGTTTCAAGAGTCAGGACCAGCCCAGACCATGCGTCTGTTGAACTGCACAGTTCGATGTTCTTACCACTTCAGTTTGCACTCGTTCCGCCTGTAGGAACTGTTGGCGCAAACTCCATCATAGCCAACCTTTCCCATGTTTCCACGGCTACATGGCCACATCATTTTTGGGGGGATGGACAGAGGCCAATAGACCCAATCCTTGCTGTTGTTCTCCCAACAAATACGCTGGTCCAAGCCTCGATGATATCCGCTAGGGCACTGGTTTTTCCTGCGAAGGAAGACATAAGGAGGACTGTGAGACCCATGGTGGATCAGATGGTACAGATGCGTTTGAAGGGTCACGAATTTCTTACCCAAATTGCTGCTGCTTAATCGGCAATGACGCCCAAGGCTTGATTTCAACCTCTTCTTTCAAGAGATCCACAATACCATTAAGGGGCTTAAGAGCAATATCCAGTGGCTCCACTTGGGAAACGATATCCGATAAGGTCTGCTGAATGTCTTTCCATGCCTGCGAATTGAGGACATCATCCAGACGCTTCATCGAGTTGTAGAAAGTCTCAAGGTATTTCCTAAAATGATCGATAACAAATTCCATGGTATCAAGAACATTCCCACCAACATGTTCAATCATGGTTGTCACACAAACGGAATCTCTAGCAGCAGCCAACACGTTCGCTCCTGTGCGGAGTGCAAACAACTTAGAGCTGTCAAATGTCTCCATTACCTTCTCCACCACTTCTATAGAGTTCTTCCAGACATTTAGGATATTGCTTTTGAAGCGATCTGCCTTTTGATCCACCTTCGAAATCATTTCCTTGATGGGCTTAAGAGCATTTTCAATGACTTTGAAGATGGTGCCGACAGAGGGGAACTTGGCTGTGACCAAAAGGGGCAAGTGAGGTAAGGGTGGGAAAAGCGATCATCAACAATCCATTGCAGGGATTCAATTCTTACCTGCAATTTTGAAAGCCACGTAGACTGAATCGGCCATAAAGTCAACATCATCAATCGCGCCTTGACTATTGGCGAGGCTGGTCAACAGGGTTGACAACGACGACAAATTGTTGACCAAGCTACCCCCGGTACCGATGAGGCCTTCGATTTTGTCTGCATACTCCACAAGTCCGTCGGCAAGACATTCCGCACTGCTTTCTCCCGCGTCGCAGGAGAGTGTCAGTTCACGAGCGTGTCCTTGGAGTTCCTCAACGTGATCCCTCAGACGGGACTCGAAATCCGCCGTGTCCTGAGGAAGAACAGAGAGTCGTCGTCGTCTTTGGATCTTGTCTTTGAACATTCTCTGATGGTCCTCGATGCGCATGTCGTCTGGGCGGGGAACGTAGTTGAGCCTCCGTTCGCCTTCCGTCGACTCGGCTTCCTCAAAGTACGTATGGTTGTCTCCGTTCGCCAGCTTTTCAAAAGCATAATAAACTTGAGCTTCATAGTCTTCCTTGGGCTTGCGAATAGCCTCTTCAACTTTTGCAAGGCGTTCTGGTGCTAGAGATCGCAACAAGACAGAGACTTCTTCTTCCGAAAAGCCAATCTCTTCCAAAGTGTCTTCAAAGTCGGTCATGTTGTTCCCAGCATCAATTAGGGCCTTCTCGACCAACTCCGCCCGAGGAGCCAATTCATTTTCTCTCGCGGCAATGTCTGCTTCCTGTATCATGTAGTCAATTTGATCGCGGATAGCAGGAGAGGACTGGATCAATTCATCGGCACTCTGCGGATCCACATCCGTTTCGGCAAAGAGACGCTGGTACATGTCATCGAGATCAAGCTCTGTTCCAGTTTGCATGCAGTTGTTTAGGTAGCCTTCAATCCAGTTCTTGACAATTTTGAGCCGGGCTTGGGTGACGCACTCCCCGGGGATTTCACAAGCTGTGTGGTTCGCGTTCTCGGCAATGATCTTTGCCATCTCCAGCGCCTCAGGGGTTCCCTGCTCGGACTGCCATTGTGGATATTTGTTGCAGAACAAGTAGTACAAAGGTGAGTGACGCAACCACAACCACACAAATGCAACTCTGCAGCAGCAACAAAACGGTACTTACGATAGTCAAGTGTTCCATGATCCACTCAGTACGATTGTCGCCCGTTTCGTCGGCCTCGATCGCCTTGAAGACGACTTGTTGGGCAACACTGGCCATGGCTTCCAAGGGATCGACCGTCCCGTTCACCGCCCTCTGATACTCAAGCTCCGCCACCAAAAGTTCTGTAAAGTCTTTGTTGCTCGGTGCCACGGGATCACCGTTTTCATCCAACATTCTGCGAAAGTAGGGATGATCGGTAACACGACGCCCATGGGCATACTCCAGATACTCATCAACGCTGGAGAATCCAACACCATCCACAACCCAGGGCAAGGCATTGTCGCCCGCATCGAGATACTTTTCCTCGTCAAATTCGATGTCGTCGTCCCAAGGCACTGCAAACATCGCACCATCCTCTCCGCCATCTTCTGCCTCCGCACCATGGGTTCCTCCATCCAACACACCGACATCTTCTTCTTTGGCACCATGATCTGCCCACACTGAAATTTCATCCTGCAACACACCTCCTCGGATACCGTCTCCCGCCACACTGGCGACGAGGAAGCCCACAGCCGTCAACACAATCTTCATTCTTTGTTTCTTTTTTCTTTTTTTTCTTTTTTCCCTTTCTTTCGTTGTTTCGTTCTTTCGTTCTTTCGTTGATACTTGCCGTTGTTTCCTAATCTTCGTTCGAAAATTGTGAGAAAGATTTGGAGGTTGGCCCACGTGATCAATGCAATGCAATTCAACTCAACTCAATTCAATTGACGCAGGAGTGCTGCGGTCATTGGATGGTTGGATACATGTGGGCATCCTGCTCAGTAAAGAGAATGTATTTCGGATCCATTTCTTCAGGTTTCCCTCGCTGCTAGCTAGTAGCCCCATGCAATGGCAGCCTTCTCAACAGTGGATGTCTTCAGGTAGGTTCGCACCGGTCCACTACTATATACGGTGCATGTAATGCCTGCCTGTAGGCGTCGCAAATACAGAGCTATTAGCTCCTGAGTAACACGATAATTAAGTTCTCTGCAACAGGCAGGCTCATCCTCACTCCACGATCTCGGGATGTGGCCGCTTGTTGCTGCTGTTGCCTGCTGTGACGCAGCAATTCTTGACGGAGCTGAGCACAATGAATCTTGCATTTTGAAAACTGAGAGGACTCGACTCGACTCGACTCGTCTCGCAGATCAAGCATTCTTGCGATAGATAGACATACTTGTGCATCACATCAGTCAGGTGAGCAAGTTCTATAGAAGGCACATGCATGCAGGCAAGTAATCCAAGCTGTACCGGTAGGTAGAAGGCGCATTTGGCAAGCAAGGATGGTGTCTGTTTTAGTTGTATGGTACAGTATACCGGTCCGTTTTCATGACTGCTTTTTGGCAAGAAGTCGTGGAATCTTGCTACTACACGTGGACACACGAGACGTCAAGAGGTCATCGAAGACCAAGGTAGCCAGCTGGAGCTGTTCGGTTCGAGACGAAGCAAAGAAGAACTATACTAATAGTACTCCAGTACTAGCTAGTAGTTGGTGGGATGGCTAGCTAGCTAGTAGGAAGTCGTACTACATGCAGCTAGCAGCTATAGCAGAAGCTGGCGGTGCGGTGAGCAACGCGGCCACTTGTTGCTTGTTGTGCTCTTCTCGACCAAAGATCCTTTTCCTTGCACACAGGGCTAGGGCTAAAATTCAATCCAGTCGCACACGGGATTAGGGGAAGCTGGACAAATTGGGGACCACGGATTTGTGGGGCGTTTGACGAAGTCGCGATGATGTAAGTGTGATGAATGAATGAATGAATGAATGAATGAATGGATGAGTAATACTACTACCGGTATGGGTAGTAATAAGAAAGCAAGGCACGAAGAGCCAGGAAAGGAAGGACACCGGTTGATGCTAGTAGTAGAATCTCCTGCACCAGTAGTAGTAGAAGAAGATCCCATTGCCGTGTTTCCTCTGTGGCATTTGGTTGTGGATTTTCTAGATTTGGTGGATGTTCTGCAGGCCCGTCTCGTGTGTCGTCGTTGGAATTCCGGCTTGTGCCAGAGTACAAGTGCTAACGGCAGCAGTAGTGGAGTGTCGGTCCAGCAATGTGTCCGATTTCTGGATGCCATTCTGCAGCGACAAAATGTGGTCTTGGCGACAGGACACGTCCCTACTATGGATGCCCACTGGACGTTGGGGTTGCTTGCTTCTCAGCCCGATTGGAAACGACGAGAGCGACTGGCTTCGTTTCTTCTGGAGAGTGACGGCAGCAGCAGGGGTCACTTTGACAAGATGCTGTTGGTCCTGCGCGTGCTGCAACACTTACCATCTCAAATGGGCATCTGCTACAATTCCAAGTGGGGCCGTCATGCCTGGGCCATGCAGTGGAATGCCAACACCCACACCAGCGAACCCCGGATCTATCATCCGTCATCCTTCCAAGTTTGTACTACTCAAGAAGATGCCACTACAGCTACATCTGGCGATATCCCCACGGTTGTTGCTTCGGGACATGCCAATCTCTTCCAAACTACCCCTGCACGGCATGGACCCAACAACGACTACGATATCCATAATACCCTTCAAATCGCGAAACAAAAGACAGAGAATGGCATACATGTAGTAACCGAGGAAACAATCCAAGAACGTTGGGACTTGAATCGTTACCATCATGATCCTTCCCTTCCCAACTTACCGTCTGATCTACGCTGTCCCCTGTGCTGTTCCGACAGAAGAACACTACAGCTCTCGGAGTTCCCCTACCAAAGCCAGCCCACTAACGGCGACGATTTCATTACTCCACTGGGATATCGAACAGCCAATGTACTCACATTGACGCCTGCAGAGACCACGAATGACCATTCTAGTAGCAGCCCGTCGTACCAAGAATTGGCCATTCCAATCATTCGTTCGCAGGACAATCTACAGTCCACAACCATTCCACAACTTCACCCCAAACCACATCTCAAGCATGCCATGACGTTGCATTGTACGCACTGTCGACAATTTGCACTCGTGGCTCCGGCGGGCATGTGCTGGTCGTCCAAATTCCCTTGCAAGAGTCGATCCAAGACGTTTTCTATACACGAATCCACTACATCATCCACAAGCAAAACCGATATCAAAACGTGGATGGGAGGCATGTTGGTGCGCACCCGTTGCAGCGAACGAAACTGTCCCCGTCCCGTCTTTTGTCACGAATGTTCCCATGCGACCAGTCATGCGCACTATCCAACAACACAACAGCAACAACCACCACCTCCCCAACTACAACATTCCTCACGCTGCGACCATTGTCATTTGGATTATTGTCCTGCACATGCATGGTTGTCCACTGTCTGTCATCATTGGTAATATTATATTAGACAGGAAAACCATGGAGACTATTGTAGATCCACTGGCGTTTGTGGAACTGGAAGATATGCATCCAACAAAGCAACAAACAATGTATCGGGTGTCAGTGGCGAACGTGCCGTTTGATTGATTTTTGGTAGGTTGCGTGATCCAGTTAGTTGGACATGTTCACCTCGACCGTTTGAATTCGTCTGCTAGTCTAGCTATGACATTGTAAAGAAAGCCTCAAAGGGTCCTCTCACTGTAATAGAACCAAATCTATCTAGCTAGCTATCAATCGCCAGTTACAACCCCGAGAATATTTGCACGGTTGCTCTGAACTAATAACTGGAAGCAAGTGACCATCACTTGGCTACCACTCGTTTATTTTGGAGTCGAGTCGGTCGTGGTTCTCAAATGGTCTGTTTCACTACTACAGTATCGTAGCCACATCCACCGTACCGGTACGATAGACAGGACCAAAATCGATCGCTCCAGCCACCATGCGTTCTGATCGAAGTTGAGGGACCGTCTCCTCTCGTGGGCTGGCAACAAAGAAGATAGCGCTACTGTATGGCAGCAAGCAGAAAGACAACGCTTGGGACATCTTGGCAACGATTACATGTAGAACGATCCTTACATCAGCAAGTACACTTTGTGTAGGCTACGGTATCAATGTCCATGGAAGGCTGACAAAGTCCATGGTGGGGAAAGTGCGTGAGGCTCCAAGGAGATCCCAGTCTCCACTTACTGTACCGGTACTGGTACCCAGGTACACTGTACGATGTACTACTCAGCAGGAAGGCAGACTTATTATAAGGAAACCAGTTTGATGCCAATTAGACATTTTTATACCAAAGGCAGCCATCCCAGCAGACCTGCACACAGGTCCATAGTAGTCTATGGTGTCAAATCTAGCTAGTACTAGTAGCAACTACTAGCCACCGGGAAGCTAGGAAGCCCCCACTTCATAGCTGTCTTCTCAGAGCTGTCTACTTTTCGGAGCTAGCTAGCTGTCTGCCTACATTTTGGAGCTGTCTACCTGCACTACTACCGGTACTAACTAAGACAAGCACTGCTATTGATTACACATTCATCGGAACGAAACATGCACTGCTTCCACTCATTCATTACAACAACCAGCCATGCAACTCTTCACAACAATCCGACTGTCCTCCAAGAAAAAGCACAAATGAACCAGGCACTATGGCTGGGCGGTACGGATAGTTTCCATGCCAACCAATATAGGCACTGTTTCAACTTTGCAATAAAAGTAGTCGGAATAAGAATTGCTGTATGGGAACAATTATGGCCAAACCTGGTATGGTGGCTCAAGCCAATGTTCTGATTATCAGGCATCTATCTAGCAGACAGGATCATCATGGTGCTTTCGTAAGCAAGGATCACTATTATTAGGAAGCTTTCGCTATAATGGAGACAATGACAAGCTAGCTAGCTACAGGAGAGGTGCGAATCCTTGCCATCGATATGAGTTTCGATATCTAAAGCTACCATATTAAATCATTCACAGATACCAATACCGACCGGCACACTTCCAAATTGTTAGAGAACTCTATATCAGAAAAATGGACACCCACATAGTAGGAATCACCATCAAAACACTAGAAATAACAAGGAGTGATGAATCCAACATAAAAGGAGGGAGGAATCCAATACAATAGGGGAATCGACTTTCCCCTGTGCGTGTGTGAGTTGTCGTATAGCCTCCCTTGGTACCGGTAGATTGTTCTAGTAGCACAGCCTCTAATGTTACCGTATCCAAAGGGATGAATCGTGTAGCCTCCAGTTGACTGTTACATTTGACTCGATGACAATCGCTCAGGCTGATGATAGAGCTGGATTTGGCAGCACCTCTCCCGTAATAATAACCGAATCAACCTCTCTTCTCTTATCTGTCATTGCAATCGATTGATTCAACTGCAGACAACCGGTGACTTACCATTGATCTTCAATGAGAGATGACTTTCCAATCTTCACCTGAATACTTCTACGGATCGATCTGCTTGGATAGCCCCATCCCGCTCTTCAGGCAAAGAATGATCCAACACTTCGTTCAGTGCGGTTCAGTACCGACTCCAATCTCTTTACTTAGCATCGCTCCCGACCCCATTCTCATTATCTCATTATCCTCCTCTGGTTGATTGTTGCATTTCTTCATTGACTCAACGACGTTTGTTCAGGCTGGTAATAGAGCTGGAGTTACATGTACCCGTACAGTATCGAAGCAGTCGTCTCCTCTTGATATTCGAATCGATAGATCCACTCTACAATGGCGTTGCACCAGCCGTCGGTACCAACTATAGTCCAGTAGAGAAAACAACATTAGATACGAGTGACTCTCTCACTCAGGATTTGATAGCAGACATGCGTGAATATTAATATTCACCGGCTTGGAACAGATATTATCAATTCGAGCCGTCCAGTCGGGCCAAAGAATGATCCAACGTATCGATCCCAGAGTGGTGATACAGCAGTAGCGTGGTACATGTAGCCTATCCATTCGCATTATTCAGCCACTGTCATTGCCTCAATATCCAGCCATGCAGCCATGCAGCCATGCAGCCATGCAGCCAAGCTTTGGCTAATAAAAGTCAGCACACAAGCAAGAGAACCGCATCAACTGAAGCAACACGCTGGCTTTATCTCCACCAACAATGTTGATACAGTGGACAGAGTGATCAGTGATCAGTGCCTGACAACAACACACAATGTCGGAGCATCCCAGCATCCCAGCATCCGAGGTGGGAGCGTTGGAGCATCAGATGAGCACATAATCTGAAGAAGGCATCTCTCTTTGAGAAGAAAGCATCTGCCATTTGGCTGTCACACCGTTGGTGTTTCTTTTTGGCAGGGGTCCCCTTTTCTCTCCAACTCTTTTCTAGCTAGCCTACCCCCTTTCAATTTTTGACTTTTTGGAAAGATCAATACCAGTTGTAGATCGCCCCCACCTGTTTTCTTCCCATAGCTTTTTCAAAGCTGTTGTGATCAGATATGTCATGGCTACTTGATTCTGTGTAACCGTCAATAGGTGTGTGCTTTACCATGGCTGTGCCAACCTGCTCAAAAGCCTCCGTATACCTTATTGAAAAATTGGTCCTGCCACTGATGTTTTGATAGTGGTGCCCTGCCAAAAAATGTTTTAACTAGCCCCCTTTGAAACCCCTATCATTAAGTCGTGAGGAAACCTCACGGTTTGTGGTTGTCCCCGAGCTGTTCGCATCCATGGTTTCAGTGTCCAGGCTCCATGGTGGGAGCGCCGTGACTTTTTCGTGCCGTCTTTTTGGTCTTCGGCCCTTCCGTGATCTCGTGATATTCCGTTGATTGAAGTTGTGCGTCATCATAGTTGAAGTTGTGCGTCTTCGTCAGCTGGCGATTCCACCGGCACCCCACCTGTACAGCTGTACCCTACACGTGTACCGGACATGTACACGTATTGGTACCGGTACTATTTTAAAATAGTACGGTGTAGATTAACTTAATAACAGCGGTCAGGATGGCAATTTCAGGGCAGAGAGTGGATCAGAAGAGAAACTTGATTATTTGCAGGTCAGTTACAAATGCAGCTAGCTTGAAACAGAAGTCTGGAGCCGAAGGTTCACTCCTGCAGTATCAAATTCTACCTACCGGTCGGAAGCTGATATTATGTGAAGCTATTCGAGAAAAAGATTGGGATTGGTCCTCGAAGGCCTAAAAACTACCTACAAACTAGCAAGGTGGGCGTTGGCTGTGATGGCACGAACGCGAAACAAACAAGAAGAAGGAGCAGAACTTTTCAACAAATGGCATGACTGGCACTCAGCCAATCCCAAATAACTTTGACTTGAAAGAATGGCTTCTGCGTCGATAGAAGCAAGAGGTCGAAAAACAAGTAATAACAAGTAGACCAATTCACTTATTAGATTCTATTGCTCCAAAACACGGGAGAGGATTTGGGGATCCAGGGATACCATAGCACGCAAGGGTAGATAGAAGGTGTGATGCGGGTTCCTACTAACTGATAGCTAGTAGGAGCCGAAGAGAGGGAAAACAAGTGGACGGTACCGGTACATGCACAGCTACCCACTGTGAACTGGCTCTCTAGATAGCCAATGAGAGTACGGGTTCATTAAATCTCTGAGTGGTGGATCGAAATCTTTGAGAGGTACCGGTAACTAATTCTTTTTTGAGGCGTTTTTAGCGACGATTTAGGGTGTAAACTGGTCGGTGAAGTCTTTTCACCCCTGCTCACGTGAATTGGTTATGAGCTTATTGATCGAGGGCAGATCCCTCTCACGGTACAGGGAGTACGGTATCCAATAACACGTCAGTAACCGCCTGAGAATTCTGATGGATGTACAGAGATGGGGTAATAAAATAATTTCATAAACAATGTTTTACCTAACCTACGCAAATTTGTATTCTTGACACAAACCAACTTTTACTGCACCAGAAAGAGTTTCACAGCACCGGTAACAGCGTATCACCCACCAAGGACCAGGACCAGGTCGTCCAGAAGACTGAATCCGTGACATTTGGAACAACCGGATCGACGAGAGGAACAATGGAATCTGAAGAAAAAGGTAAGAGTAAAGGAGTGTACTTGCGAGGCGGTACGTGGTCCGACGAGGAAATGGAGTTCATGCTGGCGATGGTTAAAGAGTTCAGAGCAGGATCAGTTCCGATTAAGAAAGGAACCACGATGCGCAGTTATCTCGCAGGTCAGCTACGTTGCATCCCCAAGAGGATCTCCAAAAAGATGGAAAATTCCGACTACAATGGAAGACTCCTCTACGAGCCCGCCGTTCATTTTAGTGGCAAAGAGTTGAAGGAGCGGAGAGAGCGACTCGAGAAACTCAGGTTGAAATTTGAAGACGCCGTTGTCTTCTTGCAAAACAAGGACGACAGGTCATCCCGTGGATCCCAGTTTTTCTTGTATGAAGAGAAACCCAAGCCCGTCATCAAAGACATCCCATCGTCGCCAAGTTCGTCAAAACAAAGTCAGGAACAGGCAACTGACGACAAGACAACAAAACAGGCAACTGTTGGTATCAAGGGTGCAACTGACGGTATCAAGGGTGCATCTCGCAGTATCGAGCGTGCAATAGCGTCCGCAGTCCTTCCTCAAGATCCATTTCGTGACCCTTTCATTCCAGCATCGAGGGATCCCCTTTTGCCCGTCCCCCGGGCCTCCATGATTGCAAACGCTCGGCTCTCCTCGGTACCTGTATGGCCACAGTACCTACCCGCAACGAGCAACGACCCGCTTGCATCCATGATACACCTAGCCCAACCTTGGGCCAATCCATATAATTCAATGCTTTCGATGCAAAGATCAAGAATGCTAGCCCAAGGTTTGCCTCTCGAAGCTGGGGCGAGCATTGGACAATGTGCTACGTCCGGCGAAGGACAACTTCAAGTTCCTGATGCGGCACATTCCGCTGTTCCAGATACCACTGTTCCAGATACTACTGTTCCAGATACCACTGTTCCAGATACCACTGAGGACTTGGCTACGGTCCTTGCAAGAAATATAAAATCCAAGGAATGGCACCGAGCAGATGCCACTGACGACTTGGCTACGGTCCTGGCAAGAAATCTAAAATCCAGGGAAGGACAACGATCTTCATTGGATCCACCTGCCCCCAAACGACAAAGAAGGGAGTCAAGACGGGGGTAGATAGCTCTGCAGAAAGTTGGTGATGGAAAGGTAGAAGGTTGTTTGGGTTTGTGTAATCTTTTGAATGAATCAAGTTGAAAATACTTTGATTCCCCTCTATAATTTAAGGAATTGGTTTTTCGTGAACTTGTATACAGTTCTGTAGAAGCGTACTCTACCTAGCTCTATTAGTACGACTGTACCGTACCAGCTAACAGCTAGACTGACGGCATCCATCAGCCTGGGACTGTGGTGCAGACAAACCGGGGTCAGGAACATTGTTCCTTCAATCCGTGGACCTGACAGGTAGCGAACCCAGTTGGTTAATAGCGTAGCCGGCTTATAGTTAATCGTGGTACATACCGCTGGTCGCACATTCCCTCTGGATATCGTTTACCGTTCGCATTGTTTCCATCATGCAATCGTGCAGCCATGACCTCCCTTGCTTGGGTCCTCCACTACATGTATATTATCCATGCTGACAGGAGTTGAGTCAAGTCTCCATACTTTTAGGAAAGCAAGGAACAACGTGAACTATGTTTGTCGACTCTCTCTGGTCTCTGTTGTTTTTGCTGTTGGCTCTGACTGCCATAGTCAGGGCTGCCGAAGAAAGTGATTTTGTGGCTCTGACTCTTCCCGATGTTTCCTCTGTGACCAGCATTCGCATTGCACGATCCTGTGGTGGATCAAAATTTGATATTCCCAAGACCATGTTCACCATTCGACCCAGTGAAGCCAACAGCACTAGTAGCCTTGAAGTCAAGACGTACCCTGCCAATCTCGTGACTGCCAGTGTGGACAATGAATTCTTGACGTTTACCTACAACCAAGATGTGGGACCCTCCGCCCAAGAAGGAGGTGTCCTCATCACCATGCCGTATGACCAGCTCTCGGGAGTACAGGCCGCTACCAGCGAAGAAGTCCAAATTCTCCCCGGATTTACCAAAATTTTTTCACTTTCCGCATCCACCAGTGCCAAACTCACGGCTGATGGGAGTACACTTGTGGGCGAGGCATCGCTCCAGGTCGACGTGACCACGTCGGCAGAGATGAAATTCCTCTCGGGTCGACCCATTACCGGATTGGATGTCAGTACATCTGCGAATTTTGACTATCAGGGAGACTTGACTGGTTCCTGTAATGTGGCAACATCTGGCGACTTGGAAATGAAGGGAAATTTGCTAGGACCCGCCACCTGCGATGTGACTACCAGTTCTGATGCCACCATTGAGGGCAGTCTCTTAGAGAATACTGTGATCAATGTGGGAACCTCGGCAGATCTCAAAGTCACGGGATCTGTATGGGGGAAAATTGAGGCCAGCACTTCCTCCGATGTGACTGTCACCAGTTGTACCAATGTCACACTCTCCACCAGTGCTGACTGCAATGAAAAGAATCCGGTGGACGAAACAGTGACAGTAAAGGTGGATCCACAGTCCTTGACATTGACGGGAACCAACAAATGTTCTGGTGCATTTGCACGTTACTCCAATCTTGTTTTGCTGCCCTCTGTGGTGGTGTCCATGCTGATGTTTGGGGGGTGGTAGGACTGTCAATTATGATATTGTGAAGCTGTTCCGAGCAAGAAACAGGAAGGAAAAGAGAATGCTGCCCGGGAGCTCCTACAGCAGAATCCGTGCAATTCGAGGCAAGGAAGGAGAAACAGCACTCGTTACACACAGTGACAACTCTATATCCACTATTATTTGTGATTCACATCTTTCACTGGCTAGCTTGTTTGATCTGCGAATTCCAAATCTGTTGCCTCCGACCATTACACCCAACCATGGATGTCCCCCGCGGAATTGTGCCAGCCACCACAAACGAAGGAAGGAACGGGGCGGTGATGCCACATGCACCTCTAACCCATGGCATTCCCCGATTGACTTAAGAGGATCCAACAGCCATTAGGCAACACCCCTCTGACCAAGACGGAGAAATGTCAATCAGAAAATGAAGTCGACTGCACAAAGCTATCAATGACTATGAAGCTTCCGTCCAAGGCACCTCTCAAGAAGCCTTGCAGTTACAGTCTCAGTCTATGCTGGGCAACGATCAACATACTCATGTCACCAACACCCACAGCAACCCTTGCCTATTGCAACGGTTGGCAAATTAGCCTTGTTTCATCAGAATGGGCAATCAAGAAAATGGATTGGCATGTGGAGTCTCTCTCAATTAAGCCATCATCCACTGCCTCTCTACCACATGGCCATGCCCCAAAGGTTCCTTCCAGCTCGATTGTTCGGAATGGGAGGGCTTCAAGTCTCCACCAGGTTAACTCCTCCAGACTCCTCCATCAGTTGGGAGGATGACAAGCCCTGCCACATATATGACCACACAAAAGATCAGCTCCTGGGCCTCAGTCATGCCAACGCCTCTGATGCACTGCAGCTGCCCCTCAAGCTTCTCCGCCAGTTGAACAAATCTGATATGTTCCTGGGTACCCCCGGCTCTAGACCGGCATTGGACTTGCTGGCACAGATGACGAGGACAACTGCTCATCATTCCGGCGCCCCCGTCCCCAAACTCGCCAGGTTGGACCGACTCTGTGCTTGGATAGACAAGCTACGCAGCACTTTGGGTTTGTACTCACGAGAATCATGCTCTGTTTACGCACAGAAAACCGCGACGACACAACATGTTTAACATTTGCATATCATCTAACATAGGTCCACTTGAGACCGTTACAAGTATCTGAGAAAAAGAAGCTGCCTTCAAGCAGAGGACGGCCAACGTTCATATCGAGAACAATCTGAACCGCCAGCCTACAAACTATAGCTGTGTCCAGTTCAGCGGCACCACATCGAATCGCAATGATGATACCTGCAGCCAACGCGAGCAGAAGCAACAGCAGCAACCACATTTACCACAGCTTCTTGCTCACTTCGCGGGCAATCCATTGCCCAATATTGAACTGTCCCACCATGACGACTTCGTCCTCTGGCTCGGGACACATTGTATCTATCCATTGATTGTATACCGACTGACGGGATCGTGTCGATGCATTGGCCCTGACCAGCGCCACGGCGCCACCTGCTTGGTTGCTTCCTTGAATGACCATGCCACGTAGCTTGGACTGCGGCGAAATACCGGCATCCTTTTGGAATCGTTGATGGAATTCCTGTGCTACTTGCAACTGAATGGCATGTTTCTTTGTTTCGTCAACGTCTTTGTGATCAATCTTGGGCTGTGGATAGACCTGGGACATGAAGTTGACAAAATGGCGCGATCCACTGGCGGATCGTCCCAGATCTGTGACCCAAACGGTGCGAGCGTTCATCTTTTTGAGGAGTAAATAGATATTGACAAACCCCATGGGTGACTGGATTCCTTTGCGTTGATGTTTGGGCGTGACAATGAAGAGTCCGTAATGGATGCAGGGAGTTCCATCTTGGAGGTACCAAAAGAAAGCCACGTTAAAGGCACAGGGAACGTCCGACCCTTTGGGATACAAGAGAATAATGGCCTTGTTTTCGAGTCCTTCTCCTCTCATGATGGGATAGTCGAGAACAGTCTCGAGTGTATCGTGGCACATGGAGGAAAGATGCTTGGCGAGATACTCTGCCGTGTCGTTGTCTTGGGGTCCGACGAATCGTCTCGCGTCGTAATCTGGAGAAAAAGCATGACGAGTGCCATCCTCCATGGATTTGCGATTCCAACCATCTTGGAAAAAGATAAGCTGGGCGAGTTGCAGGGCTTCCATCGTATATGCGATCGATCGGTGTGGTGGTTTCGAAGAATTCTTGTACTGCAAGTTTCTATTTTATGAGATGTTTGGATATCTTCGTGATGGATGGTTGCTTGCATGGAGTGATGACGAAGCACAGGTAATAATCTCTGCGACTGACAAAAAACGCTGTTTTCAGGTTTCAAGGATGGTGCTTGCACAGTTTCAGGGGTGCTTGCAATCATGAAACGGCAATGACAACTTGGCTCGAGCCTCGATCGAGTGAGTTTCGGCTGCTTCAGTGATGTGCATCGAACACAGAGTTGACAGCGGGATGTGCATGCCAACCAGGTCCAACTTTTGGCTCAAATTACTGCACCGGTATGGTACGCTGACATGCATTTGGGCTACTAGTACCGGTACGACTTGGGTCTTTTGCTTGCGTTTTACGATGAACTAAAAGGTGTGGTGCACTCCAAAGGTAAATGTAAGAACCTCCTAAAAAGAAAGCCGGTACTCAGATTTTAGAAACAGATGATGAAACTTTTGATACTGAAATATCACAGACTTGTAAGAAAAGTTCCCAGCATTGAGACATCAAAGCACAAGAATACTACTAGTCTGACACCATGAAAATGATCCTAACTTGTGCCTAAATCTGTAAAATTTTCCGCCCCATGGCAGAGTCTATGATCACCATAATTTCTTGATCCAAACGAATTAATTAAAAGAGAGCCTGAGCAAGTTTGACCCAAAGGCCCAGGTGCACTGGGTGTATCCAAACACTAACCTGTTTGATCTAGAAGCTTAGTAAGAAAGACTTCTACTATATACTAGTACTAGTATTGAAATTGCCTTGTTTTGTAAGAAATAAAATGAGAAGCAAAATAGAGCAGTGGGGTAAGAAAGCAGGAGATATAAGATTCTTATTATTGAGTTTGGCATTTATTGTATGACAAGGCATGATTTGGGGACGCGACTAAATTAGCTTGATTGTTAAATCCTTACTAATATTCAGAGGTCACCAGTACATTTTTATGAATGGATTAATTAAAGTCAGTTCTTGATTAGGTCCCGTAAATCGTCCTTGCAATTCGCACGCACGGCACACGGCACAATACTTTTTTGAGGTTCCGTTTCGTGTCTTTCTTGAAACAACCCAGTTTCCTTCTCAGGCCGGCCTCAGAAGTGGTCCTATTGCTCACTGCAGTCCGTGGACTTTCCGCATAGTAATTACTAGTACCTGCAGTGCATGCTTCTGTTACCATCAGGGAATCGCATCAATAATGCATTGAATAAGAGGCGAGACGTCCATCAGGTAATACATACCCAGATCCATCTATCTGGTACGTTTACCGTGCGGTAGCGAAGCTTGTGGAGGTCTCATAAAAACTTTCGAGTTTCGTGTTCCAAACAAACAACCAACCAACCAACCAAACGAACAACAAACAATGACAGCCCCAGTCAAGCCAACGACCACCACCATCCATAAATCCGCCATGGGCAATCAGCGGTTTGAAGACCTTTTGCACCGTTCGATCCAGCTTTTGTTTAGCTTTGCGAATATCGTGTTGAAATGGATGTTTGGTGTTTTGCTGCGCAAGCTGATTGATGCTAGTTTGACTTCCACTGCTGACACTGATCCAGACAATGACGCCCTATTGGAACCGACCCGCCCCTTGTTGAACTTTGTCTTTTTGTTCAATGTTCCCTTTGGGACTGTCATTGTCATTGGTCTTGTCACCAGCTTGATTGTGGCCTTGACATCTGCCTTGCTCACTTCCATGGCGGTTCATCGGGCAGCTCACAAGGGACAATCCCTGCGAAAACAAATCTTGCAACAGGCCGTGCACTCGGCAAGTTCCGCCGATGGCAATGACATTCATCACATTGCCCATGACTTGATTGTCAAGGTTAACATTATCGAACGCTTTGTTGAATTTGATGAGCATTGGATCATCGTCAATATTGCCTCCATTGCCTTGGCCATGATCCTTTCCCTGACATTTGCCTGGTACGGGGGATTGGTTGCCTTGCTCTGCTTTGCCCTATCCATGCTGGTCTTGGTGGGGGTCGAACATCTTCGAAAACCATCGGTGCAAATTCTCCAAGAAGGATCCCAACAAGTCAATGCCCGACTGTTGGATGTCATCAAGAATGGTGTCAAGATTCACATTATGAAGCAACTACCACACGAACAGCAGGCGCTCCAAAGTTTGGAACACGCTACCGATGTGGCACGACAACGCAGTGCCCGACTCAAGTTAATCCGAGAACTCGTACGGCAGTACCTTCTAACCATTATTCCCATTCTCATGATCCTTGTCGCGTGGTGCCTCATTCAAACCATTCTAGAGGAGGAACACAACGCCGCACTGGCCATTGACGTGGGATCCTCCATTTTGGTCGCCACGCTCATGCTCGACGAAGCACACAAGTCATTTATGGAATTGGCAAAAGTGCAAGACAAACAACTGGGTGCCGACCAAGCGCAGGAGGCTATTGACCGTTTTCTAGTGGGAGGGGCAACCACCACCACCACCACACCTACCGGTCCGAGTGATGACAATACGAAGGAAGAATCCAACAAGACACCCGGTGACATTGAGAGCGGACACGATCAGGTCACCTCGACGGGAATGGAGGGTTCAACGATGGAGGTGGATGATGTGGATGGTTTTGACATCAGGGAGGAATCCGAAGAGGCCACGGCCATTGAATTGAACGATATCTCTCTGACTTACCCTGGCCGCGCCATGCCCGTACTCGACCGATACTCCCAAACCTTTGCACGAAACCAACTTCACGCCTTGGTGGGAGAATCGGGAAGTGGCAAGAGTACGGCACTCAAAATCATTGCCGGGTTGCTACAGCCCACCTCCGGACGCATCCACTATTGGCGGGGCATGCAAGTCGCTTATGTCAGCCAAGATCAAACCCTCTTTTGCCGATCCATTCGAGACAATGTCACCTATTGTGCTTCTGACGACGACGCTAGTAGTATTAGCGACGACGAGATTTGGGAGGCACTCGAACGAGCCAACATTAAAGATTGGATTGCCTCCTTGCCCCAGCAACTGGATACCGTATTGAGTAACGGAGAAGGTGGCGTCAGTGGGGGACAATTGCAACGACTTAACTTGGCACACTTGTTCTGTGTGTGTCAACATGCCGACTTGGTCATTCTCGATGAAGTGCTCTCAGCGTTGGATCAAACGTCGCGCGAGAAGCTGCTCGACGAACTTCACACCTTTTTGCAGGGAAAGACGGCCATTATCATTACCCATCATTCCGAAATGCTGCGCATCTGCGATCAAGTCCATGAACTACGGCCGCCGTCCCATGCTTCCCTCCCTGCACAAGTGTCGTATGATTCCTAGCTACGCTAGCCAGCTACTAGCAGGCCATCACCCAGAAACGGACGCCCGGAACATGTCGAACAAAAACGGACGACGATCGTGTCGCCGTGGGTCGGACACTCCTTTTCAAGCACCCTCCTCCTCCATTGACCTAGAAGACGCAACTCTAAAACCCTCTTTATCCAACTAGCTAGACCAAACGTAACGTGAACCCTCTGCGTCTTCGTATCTACCAGTGTGATCTCGTAGTGTCCTCGTCGCTAGCTACCACCACAGCAGCAGACAAATTTGGTTCCTGTCTGAGCTCGCCGGCAGCAACTTGGACGTTCATGAGCAGTGCTTCTTGATAGGGCCTATACATGGCGCGAAGCAATTGCATTCGGACGATCGCAAGGCAAATGCGGCCCACTTTGACATGAAAGATGGCAACCTCCTATCTAGCTAAACCTTGATATCGAATCTGCAGCTACGGCTTCTAGATTATTTGTAGCCCTCCGGTGTACGGCATTCGTTTCTTCCCTAAGAAAACCAAGCACACTTCACAGCAACCCAACCTGCTATGAGCATTCCAAACTCATTACGGAAGACCAAGTCCATGCGGTGACGAGGGCTCACATCCTGGATCCCGTGCTGTTTGTTTCATTCGTAGCTAGAACGATGGCGCCAGTGATGTTTGTCTCATTCATACACAGACAACTGCATCCACAGAGAATTGAGCTGCAGTCAAAAGCCAACTTGTCAATGTCACAAAGAGAGTCTGGCAGCACACCAGAGATCTGTGTCCCATCCAACACAAACACGTGCAAATTGAGAAGGTTTGAAGGTAGGGTGCCAGTCAAGAGTGTGTTGTTATTGACTTCCAAGATCCGAAGAGCTGGGGTCAGTCGTTGCGGAAGTGCCCCCGACAGGTAGTTATGTTCCAAAGACAATGCATACAGCAGTTGCAGCTGTTCAAACTCAGCAGGTATCATCCCAGTCAGAGCATTGGAAGAAAGTTGGAACACTTCTAGGCTTGATATCATTGCCAACTCACTGGGGATTTTTCCAGTAAGATGGCTCCGCCATACATTGAAATAACTCAAACTGGAAAGCTGCCCAAGTGCACTGGGAATAGTTCCAGAGAAGTGGTTCTCCCGTAAATCAAATCGTTTCAGGCTTGAAATCTGGCCAAACTCTGCATGTATTGTCCCTGTCAGCAGATTGGAATCAAGCCAAAGATCTTCCAAAGGCAACTTTGACAAGGATACTGGGATTGTCCCTGAAATTGAATTCTCACCCAAGTACATCCAATCCAAGCTGGATGCCTTGCCCAGCTCAGTTGGAAGAGTCCCGGTCAAGCTATTCCGACCGAGCAAGAGGTACTGCATTCTGTGCAATAGGCCAAGTTCCGACGGAAGGCTCCCTTCTAATTGTGCGTTCAGAATGGCAATACTGACCATTGAGTGGGACAAGAGACCTAGCTCAGTAGGAAGATTTCCAGCAATCTTTGTTGCACCCTGCACTCTTCCGCCCATGTCGATGGCCTCTAATTTGCGGAGCTTCCCAATGTGGGAGGAAATGGTACCAGTCAGATCTTCGTTGTTGTATAGGGAGATGCTTCTCAAGTTTTTGAGCCAGTATAGTTCCAGTGGTAGACTTCCTTGTAGTCCATTTGTGTGGAGCCAAATGTGCTGGTATTGGCCATGTTCCAAGTGGACACTCTTGGGCCCATCGATTTGCGCTGGGGACATTTCACAGGGATTCGGGTGAGTTGTCTCGAGGTAGATGCGATTGAGCTCAACTTCTGTCCTAGGAATCTCTAGGAAAGCTCCTTGTGCAAACCAGAAACACTCATGTGCTGAATGACTCAACCAATTATCGTTGTTGAGCCAGTCATTCCCATTTGTGGCATAGAAGAGTGTAGCAAGGGCAAACCTTTGCTTTTGCCTGCTGGTGAGGGTGTAGTTGTTTGCTTCCAAATCGCTCAGTAACCACTGGTGGGCAAGAGACTGAGGAGACTTGGGATCCTTGAGTGCCTCCAGTGTGTAGTTGGGGAACGCTTGGAAGATAATTGAGTGTGGCTGATTTGGCAGACCAGAAGGTGCCACTGTTACTGATTGAAAAGGCTCGTTTTGATTCTTGGTTGCTTCTTTGTTTCCGCCAGATTTCACAACCACAGCAACCACAATGATGACCACGAGAAGACAAAGAAGAAAGATTATTGATCCAACCACCAAAGGGGTATCATTCTTCTTTCTCTTGCGGCTGTTTCCAATTTGAGGATCCACTGGATCATACATTGCGTTGGATTCCGACAGGTCAGTATGATGATGGGTGGCGATTTCCGCTATACCCATGGCAGCTATGGTGATTTCCTGCTCTAGATCCACATACTCTGTTGCGGACTGGGAATGGTCCTGATCTTGATCAACATAGGCCGTGGCACACTGAACCGGTATGTGTGTGTTGCTCATGGTTTTCGTCTCAAAGCTTTGTGGTCCTTTCACTGTCACCATTCCAGGTGCTTGCACAGAGACAACCGGAATGTGGGTATTGCTGATGGTTTTTGTCTCGAAACTTTGCGGTCCCTTCACCGTCGTCAACATTGGAGCTGCTTGCACAGAGACAACTTGCTTCCTGTTCTTGGATAGCCCGTGTGAGGATGATTTAGATAACTCAGAGGCAGAGGGGTTGAAGCTGGTGTCACTTGCTCTGGCATGATGAGCTCCAGGCTGCATCGCAGCAGGACCGGTGTTTCCATGTAACCCTTTAGGATTGAGCTTAGTGATGCTACTACTCTCAGTTCTGTTGGCAGCGACGGCAGTCCCAGCACCGACACTTGCCGCATTTTTGGCATCTTCCATGGATCGTCTTAGTCCCCGCTGAGATCCCTGAGGAGGAACCTGCGCTGTTGTACTTGGAACGACAGTGGACAAACCAAGTGTGGCACCCCCCGTGCTGACTCGAGCCGTTTCTCCAGCAGCCGGCTCTTCAGCAGATCTTCTGAGACCATGCATTGTACTAGTTGGTACTATAGTTGTAGCAAGCACAGGTTTGGTGCTATCATTCTGCATGTCATGGGCTGCTTGCTTGGCTTCTTTCCTTCGGTGTTGACTCATCTGCAATACGGCTCCCGGAATGCTTGCTTCGATGGGAGTGGCACACGTACTGCCAACGCTAGCTCTAGCAGCTTCTTTAGCAGCTCTGTCTTCTGCAAACCGATGTAGGCTACTGTTCAACGTTGCGGCAGTAGTAGTAACTGTTCCCCCAACCGACGATGGTACCACCAAACTGACGTTGGCCTGATCTCTTGCGGTAGCATTCACTTCAGCAGTATCGGTAGGTTTAGTAGTCGTGCATTCGCCATTGCCACTACTCCGATCGTTCTGATAGTCCCCTCTTGAAGGATCCAGTTGCCTGTCCACAAGTTCTGCCCCGGCGAGTGAAAACATCGTTGTTTGCTCAACTGGATCACACGCGCCCATGTGGACTCGGGCAGCATCTTTTGCAGCCCGCTCTTCGGCAGATCTTCGGAGACCATGCATTGTTCTTATGTTTGCTGTAGCTGTGGTAAGTGCTGGCGCGGTGCTATGATTTTCCGTTGCATGAGCTGCCACACCAGCTTCCTTGACATGCTTCTGCCTCTGTTGACTTCTCTGTAAGATGGCTCCAGGCAGGCTCGCCCCGGTGCTTCCCCTGGCGCTTCTAGCAGCTTCTTTAGCTGCTCTTTCTTCTGCAAATCGATGGAGGCTAGTGTCCAACGTAACTGGAGGGGCTGATACCGCAGGACTTGACCTTCGCTGATAGTTCCCTCTTGAAGCATTCATCTGCTTATCCATATTTTCTGCTTTAGTTTGGGACAACACCTTTGCCTGCCCAGCTGATTCACTACCAGTGGTGCCCATGCGGACTCGGGCAGCATCTTTTGCAGCCCGCTCCTCAGCAGATCTTCGGAGACCATGCGTTGTTCTTATGGCAGCTGTACTTGCGGTGGGAGCCGACTCAGTGCTAGGGATTTCTTTTGCATTGGTTCCAACACCAGCTTCCTTGACATGCTTCTGCCGCTGTTGACTTCTCTCCAAGACAGCTCCAGGGATACTCGTCCCGGTGCTTCCCCTGGCGCATCTAGCAGCTTCTTTGGCTGCTCTTTCTTCCGCAAATCGATGGAGGCTGGTGTCCAGTGAGGCAACCGGAGGGGCTACTACAGCAGGGACAGCTCTGTTATTAGTGGCAGCATTAGACGTATTGACTGCGACGGTATCTCCACTGGTAGGTAATTTCCCGGAAGCATCATCAGTTCCAGCCTCTTGGGTTGCTGTTGTGTATTCTGCTGGTTTCGTTGGTCGGTTATTCATGGTCATCGTAACTCGGAAATTTTAAAAAGACGGAGGAGAATTATGAGAAGCCGATGATAGCTCAATTGCCAATTGTGATGGGGCTTGAGGTGTCGTGTTTTTGCTTGCCGCCTGGCATGAACCTGGCCGTAGTGCTATATTCATAGTCGACTGGCATGTACCAGTCAACCAAAGCGGCGAACAACATCATCTATCAAAGCAAAACACCACCCGAAGCATGGCTTTGAGTGTATCGCTTGAGTGTCGGTGCGCGTTGGAGTTTCGCATTGGTTCTTGATTGCCCGCTATCTAACCGCTGTTCTACCCGCCATAATAAAAAAGCCTTCACAGTTGGCAAACACTGCTAACAACGAGCAGCCTCATAGAAAGTCCACTTGAAAACAGTTGCAGCAGAAAAGTATTGCACTGTACCAGTAAGCTAGCTAGCCACCGGTAGCTACTGGTACCTGCACTTTGCATCACACGGGTACGTACAGTTGCTTGCCTACGGTATCTAGCTAGACCGAGTGAAGGGAGGTGAGTCGACTGTAGCTTCGCTTTCATGTCAAAGTGGCGGAAGGAATGGAATCAGTTCCTAAAGCCATGCAATGCATATTCCCTTCTGAGTAAAGCCTGTGTTTTAGCGATTCCGCAGTTTGTGATGAGTAAACTTACTTATTAGTTCAGTCACTTTTTGCTATTTCTTGCCCCTGATCCCACAGAACCTAGTCCTGAATTTCGACTGTTCTTTGCTTAAGCCTGGCCCCGGCTGGCTTCCGTAGATAATTTCCCTACTCTAATCCCCCCCTACTAGCTTTTTGCTAAAATCGTATGACATATTCCCTTTCTCTTCATAAATCATCCCGGTAGGTTTTCGATTCGATTTAAAAACGGCGGAGCGCTTTTGGACGTCGACCTTTGTGGCCTAGAGCCTACCAGTATTACTAGTCAGTCTAACAGTCCAGATCGACTAAATACCGACTATGGGTACAAAACGGGGAAGTTGGTTATTATGTATTTGGAATCATTGGCAAGTGCAGTGTCAGAGTAGCTTCAGTTCCCTCCACGACGGGACACTGGACGTATTGATTGGTAAAGACATTCTTGTCGTCCAATAGTTGTTTATTGTTGTCATTATTGTTTGGCGCTTGGTAGGTGATCCACAAGGCACTCCCTTTGTATGGTTTGATGTGTGTCCCTGCCTTTGGGAAATGAATGGCTCCTCCCTTGGTGGGGACCTGACAAAAGAGTATAATGGTCCCCAGGAGATTGGGCGGAGCCACAAACTCGTGTGGTTCGTCATCTGGTGAGGGCGTTCGAGTTTGTATTTGAAAGTGTGTTGTTGTCTGCGTCTGTTTTTGGTGCTTCCAGAATGCTTTGTCTGAGATTGGAACTTTGTGATCGAGTACCCGGTTCAATGACTGGTAGATGCGAGAGAGTATCGCAGAGACCGTGGCGTCCTTTTGGGAGGCAGCCCAATCGAGTGTTGTTCCATCACTGTTGGAAGGGTGTTGCAATAAGGATTGACATTGAGCTTTCGACACGAATCGTTCCAACAAGACGACCTTGTGATTGTCGTTGGAATCAAAAAAGACACGCATGGTGGGATTCTTGCCCGGTCCCAAATTCAGCAGTGTTTGATTGTGGGTGGAAATACTGGTGGGAAAGCGTTCTTGGTCTTGACAGGCATGTTTTACCAATCGTTGTCCCAAATCGTGGCGAACGGATGCCTGAAAGTGGACTTCTTGCCGTGGTTCCCGCAGTGTGGCTTCAATTTCGCGTTGCAAACACGCCGTCCATTCGTCCATGGTACTATTAGTATTGTCGTCTTCTAATAGTGTGGTGGGCACGGGACACTCTCTGGACACCCTCTTGGCTTGTTCCAAGGCTCGTGTTTGGGTATCTTGGTAGGTAACGGTGAAGTCGGCTGCAATAATGAATCGTTGCTCGTCTTTGGTGGTGACCTTGAAATGGGCTTTGGCACACTCGCTCTCACGACAGCTTCCCGTGGATTTGCGGGGTACTTCTTGAACTTCAAACTCGTGGTGCTTGAAACTGTTAATGACGGCATCCGTGCCTTTCAATATCCCGTCCTCTATACTCTTGTGTAATTCGCGCGTTGTGGGATGAACCCAAAAGATATCCACCTTGGCATTCGAATCATTAATCACTTGAATGTCGCGACCGTCGCCTCCTGTAGTACTAGTAGTCTTGCGACCGGACGCTGCCGGTATGGAAACCAGCAATACTAATAATAATAATAAAGATGCAACCATGCTCTTGTTTCTCTTATCATTCAGAGAAAATCGAAATGGAAACCAACATATTCTCACTACTAGCTGGAGCATTATACATACATGTAGTGGAGTATAAGCTAGGGCAGCCAGATAGATTGTGTCACACAGAGGGGGTTATCATTCAGCAGCGGCAATTGAGGTTGCGAGGCGGGAGCTGCTTGAAAGCTTCAAAGCAGATGCAAAGATCCTGCCAACCGCAAAAGATCCAAAATGGGTTAGGATTTGGAAAGGGGTGAGGCGGAGCCTCACCACCATGACGTGGCGGAGGGCCTCTTTTAGCCTAAAACGGATACCTTTCCAGAAAGGCCACTTTCAAAATGCCTGGGTACCCTTTGGAAAGAGTTACGGCTACCTACATGGGTTAAGCCCGCGAGAGCTGGAAGCCAACTTTGGAATTCCAGTACCTGGTAGTTACGGTAAATATATTTTTATACAAAAATGAAAGGTAAACAATAACTGTAACCCTATAATTACTCAGGCTACCTGACATAAACAGTTTTCCTTGCAAACGTCAGAACGAATCTTTATTGTGACGTACCGTACCGGTCCTTGTACTCGCACTGGTAGATAGTACCGCTATGACTGCAGATCTGTACAGATGATGACGCGACTGTGCCCCATACGGTAGAGGTACCAGTGGCAGCAATCAATGAGCTTGAGTTAATTAGGGCGGCAGTGTACGGTACCACTACGGACACGGGTACCTGTTACAGTCGTACATGCAAATAAAAGTAAAAGGGGGGATTAGAGTAGGGAAATTATCTACGGAAGCAAATGATGACTGCATGCATTGTGTCACAGAGAGGTACTAGTACATGTACCGGTGGTAGCAGCTGTGGCAGCAAAGAAAGGGGGTTTAGAGTAGGTTGATGAGCTGAGTTTAGTTATGATACAGTGATACAGTACGGGCGGGCACTGATTGGCCCATTGTGCAAGACTTTGTTGATTGGCTTTCTTCTGACGTATGTCTGAAGATCAAACGCCATGCCAGCGGTACTCTAACTAGTCTAGTCGTAGTGTATACTGTACTCACAAGAGACTAAACATCGATCATTGTAACCTTTGATGCCACCGGGTGTTGGAGGAAACATACCTGACACCTCTTTACTATTGACTCGTGTATTAATCATCTAGTCCGGTTCGCATGCAAATTGATCATGCAAGGAACCAAGGGAGTTTTAGGTCTAAAGTGTTACGGGGGTCCTTATATCCAATTCAATCACAAGAATTGCTATGCACCACCAGAAAATCCTCACTTTTGCTTTTCAGCTTAATCTAAAACCAAATTACTCCCCAATAAGCTGCAGTATTACTAGCAAACAACACTGAAAAGCAAAAGGCCATCTCGAGTTACTACTACCGATCTCGAGATCGATATCAAGGTAAACATCAAGTTGAATTGACTGGAAGTGTATTGAGTTAACTACTGCAACAGAGCAGAGGTGCGCAGAATCAGGCCCTAGCTACACTATAAAGGATACCAAACAGCTCTAACACGAAAGAGGTGCGTGCGCGGGAATTCCCATCTTCAGTCCCATTATCACACGTCAAAGATCAACTGTCAGTTTCGGCCGGAACTACAGCGATCCAAGCATACCAGGTGATCAAGGAGAACAAG